GTCAGTACTCACACCACACAGGTCAGTACTACACCACACAGGTCAGTACTACACCACACAGTACAGTACTCACACCACACAGTACAGTACTACACCACACAGTCACAGTACTACACCACACAGGTCAGTACTACACCACACAGTACAGTACCACACCACACAGTACAGTACTACACTACACAGGTCAGCACTACACCACACAGGTCAGTACTACACCACACAGTGCCAGTACTACACCACACAGTGCAGTACTACACCACACAGGTCAGTACTACACCACACAGGTCAGTACTCACACCACACAGCACAGTACCACACCACACAGGTCAGCACCACACCACACAGCACAGCACTGACCACACAGTGCAGTACTCACACCACACAGCACAGTACTCACACCACACAGCACAGCACCACACCACACAGGTCGCACTACACCACACAGCACAGTACTACACCACACAGTACAGCATCACACCACACAGCACAGTACCACACCACACAGTACAGTACTACACCACACAGGTCAGTACTACACCACACAGTACAGTACTACACTACACAGGTCAGTACTACACCACACAGTACAGCACTACACCACACAGGTCAGTACTACACCACACAGTACAGTACTACACTACACAGGTCACACACCACACAGTACAGCACTACACCACACAGTACAGTACCACACCACACAGCACAGTACTACACCACAGGTTGCCACACAGGTCAGTACTACACCACAGTACAGTACTACACCACACAGTACAGTACTACACCACAGGTCGCCACACAGGTCAGTACTACACCACACAGGTCAGTACTACACCACACAGTACAGTACTACACCACACAGGTCGCCACACAGGTCAGTACTACACCTCACAGTACAGTACTACACCACACAGTACAGTACTACACCACAGGTCGCCACACAGGTCAGTACTACACTCACAGTACAGTACTACACCACACAGTACAGTATCACCACACAGTGCAGTACTACACCACACAGTGCAGTACTACACCACACAGTACAGTACTACGCCACACAGGTCGCCACACAGTACAGTACTACACCACAGGTCGCCACACAGTACAGTACTACACCACACAGTACAGTACTACACCACACAGGTCAGTACTACATCCTCACAGGTCAGTACTACACCTCACAGTACAGTACTACACCACACAGTGCAGTACTACACCACACAGTGCAGTACTACACCACACGCAAGCCAGTACCACACCACACAGGTCAGTCCCACACCTCACCGTGCAGTACTACACACCACACAGTACAGCACTACACCACACAGTACAGTACTACACCCACAGGTCAGTACTACACCTCACAGCACAGTACTACACCACACAGGTCGCCACACAGGTCAGTACTACACCACACAGTACAGTACTACACCACACAGTACAGTACTACACCACACAGGTCGCCACAGGTCAGTACTACAGCCTCACAGTACAGTACACACCACACAGTGCAGTACTAACCACACAGTGCAGTACTACACCACACAGTACAGTACTACACCACACAGAACAGTACTACACCACACAGTACAGTACTGCACCAACACAGTGCAGTACTACACTCACCGCACAGTACTACACCACACAGTGCAGTACTACACCACACAGTACAGTACTACACCACACAGGTCAGTACTACACCTCACCGCACAGTACTACACCACACAGTACAGTACTACACCACACAGTACAGTACTCACACCACACAGTACAGTACTACACCACACAGGTCGCCACACAGGTCAGTACTACACCACAGTACAGTACTACACCACACAGTGCAGTACTGACACCACACAGTGCAGTACCACACCACACAGTACAGTACTATATCATTACAGTACAGTATCAGACCACACAGTGCAGTACGACCACACAGTGCAGTACTACACCTCACCGTACAGTACTACACCACACAGTACAGTACTACACCACACAGGTCAGTACTACACCCACCGCATGTGCAATTACACCACTCAGTACAGTACTACACCACACAGTACAGTACTACACCACACAGTACAGTACTACACCACACAGGTCGCCACACAGTGCAGTTTACACCACACACAGTACAGTACTACACCACACAGTACAGTACTACACCACACAGGTGCCGCACAGTGCAGTAATACACCACACAGTGCAGTACTACACCACACAGTACAGTACTACACCACACAGTACAGTACTACACCACACAGTACAGTACTACACCACACAGTACAGCACTACACCATCACAGTAATTACACCACACAGTACAGTACTACACCACACAGTGCAGTACTACACCTCACGTGATAGTACTACACCACACAGTACAGTACTACACCACACAGTGCAGTACTATTGACCACACAGTGCAGTACTACACCTCACTGCATAGTACTACACCACACAGTACAGTACTACACCACACAGGTCAGTACTACACCACACAGTACAGTACTACACCACACAGGTCATACTACACCACACAGTGCAGTACTACACCACACAGTGCAGTACCACACCACACAGTGCAGTACTACACACCACACAGGTCAGTACTACACCTCACAGTACAGTACTACACCTCACAGTACAGTACTACACCACACAATACAGTACTACACCACACAGTACCACACAGTGCAGTACTACACCACACAGTACAGTACTACACCACACAGGTCAGTACTATACCTCACTCGCATAGTACTACACCTCACAGTGGAGTACTACACCACACAGTACAGTACTACACCACACAGGTCAGTATTACACCACACAGCATAGTACACTACACCACAGTACAGTACTACACCACACAGTACAGTACTACACCACACATACAGTACTACACCACACAGGTCACCACACAGTGCAGTACTACACCACACAGTACAGTACTACACCACACAGGTCAGTACTACACCTCACCGCATACAGTACTACACCTCACAGTACAGTACTACACCACACAGTACAGTACTACACCACACAGGTCACCACACAGGTCAGTACTATACCACACAGTACAGTACTACACCACACAGGTTGCCACACAGGTCAGTACTACACCACACAGTACAGTACTACACCACACAGTACAGCACTACACCACACAGGTCAGTACTACACACCACACAGTACAGTACTACACCACAGTACAGTACTCACCACACAGTGCAGTACTACACCACAGTACACAGTACCTGCACCACACAGCAGAGCCTACACCACACAGTGCAGTACTACACCACACAGGTTGCCACACAGGTCAGTACTACACCACACAGTACCAGTACTACACCACACAGGTCAGTACTACACCACAAGGTCGCCACACAGGTCAGTACTACACCACACAGTACAGTACTACACCACACAGGTCAGTAATTACACCACAGTACAGTACTACACCACACAGTACAGTACTACACCACACAGGTCGCCACACACAGGTCAGTACTACACCACACAGTATAGTACTACACCACACAGTACAGTACTACACCACACAGTACAGTACTACACCACACAGGTTGCCACACAGGTCAGTACCTACACCACACAACAGCACTACACCACACAGGTCAGTACTACACCACACAGTACAGTACTACACCACACAGTACAGTACTACACCACACAGGTCAGTACTACACCACACGGTGCAGTACTACACCACACAGTACAGTACTACACCACACGCAGTACTACACCACACAGTACAGCACTACACCACACAGGTCAGTACTACACCACACAGTACAGTACTACACCACACAGTACAGTACTACACCACACAGTACAGTACTACACCACACAGTGCAGTACTACACCACACAGTACAGTACCTACACCACACAGTACAGCACTACACCACACAGTACAGCACTACACCACACAGGTCAGTACTACACCACACAGTACAGTACTACACCACACAGTGCACAGTACTACACCACACAGTGCAGTCATACACCACACAGTGCAGTACTACACCACACAGTACAGTACTACACCACACAGGTCAGTACTACACCTTACCTGCACAGTACTACACCACACAGTACAGTACTACACCACACAGGTCGCCACACAGGTCAGTACTACACCACACAGTACAGTACTACACCACACAGGTCGTACTACACCACACAGGTCGCCACACAGGTCAGTCTACACCACACAGTACAGTACTACACCACACAGTACAGTACTACACCACACAGTGCAGTACTACACCACACAGTGCAGCACTACCACACAGGTCAGTACTACACCACACAGGTCGCCACACAGGTCAGTACTCCACACCACACAGTACAGTACTACACCACACAGTACAGTACTACACCACACGGTCAGTACTACACCACACAGTACAGTACTACACCACACAGGTCAGTACCACACCACACAGGTCGCCACACAGGTCAGTACTACACCACACAGTACAGTACTACACCACACAGTACAGTACTACACCACACAGGTCACCACACAGGTCAGTACTACACCACACAGTACAGGGTCACTATAACACACTGTATAGTATTTGATATGAAGATACCTTCCTAAAAACGTTATTTACTACCTTTGAGTGTTATATGTTGACTCAGTTTGGCTACTTGTACACTTAGACAAATGATTAATGAATAAACCAGATATATACAGAAGCATAATACTTTACACTACAATATTACTTATTATGTGATGATAAATACACTACAATAGTTTTTATTATGATGATAAATCCACTACAGTAGTATTTATTAAGTGGTGATCAAATACAACTGTACTGTACTAATTACTAAGTGGGGAAGACAGACATTGTGGTAAGGTATCAGCTGTGTGCTCTTTTGTAAACAAATGACTCATGGTGTTCAGTTTGGGATTCTTTTTCAGGAAAGTTGATTCTTTTAGTATAATATTATATCAACCTGGCACCAAATGATCCTAAATTATATGAGAACTGTGGTGAAATTACTTAAAGAAGTGTTAAAGGAATTATGGAGAGGGGGAGGAGCCATGCTACCCTCCCTCCTCCCAGTAAACATACAATATGCTCCTACACTTATTTGTTCTTAGTTTTATCTTTATTCATAAGACAAATTGTGGTTACTTACATATAACACTTACAGTAAATAACAATCACCTCGGGACAACCAGACTTACATGTCTGATTTTCAACCCAGAGAGTTCTGTTTCATAATATTTTTTGTTGATGTAATATTCTTTTAATAACCTTGTTATACACTTAATGACCTTAGTTGTTGAAGTACAGTAATAACATAACTGATTGTCTGTAAGCAGTGTTATCTCCAACCTCATGTACAATATTTGTTTTTTAACTGGGTCTGCCCCAATTAGACTGATTTATCAAGTTTATACTGTATATATATCCAGTACTGTACAGGGTATAGTTGAATTTTGATGTTTTCAGAATGAAACATCAGACTGTAAGCACGGTGTGTTTGATTTAAGCAGTGATCGCTACAGCACTACGCGAGGTACTGAAGGGCCTTGAATACTTCCCACAATAATGGTCAGATACACAGGTAACTTAACCACTTATTAAGTACACTGTTGTACAGTTAAACCTCTGGACAGTATGTGACAGACATTCCATCACACCCTGTATATGAAAACTTCTGTTACTGCATATGATACAGGTTGTACTTCTCTAGTCCGCAACCTCGACCTGACCGTGCTGACCATGGAATTCACCTTTCTCCTGGATAGATAGTGACTTGTGCTTATGCCTGGAAGCACTAGCACCACTTTCTGGGCCATGGTCTCTTTGAAGACATATTGAAGGGTTAAATGTCGTATAGTAGCTTCTCAACTCGCAAGTTTTAATTTAACGTTTTTTATTGGAACACAAAAAAATAAATAAATAAAATTTTGACGGCGAAACTTGAATTTCGACGGGTTTGAACGCCCGCCAATGTGCAGACGACGGTATAATAGTGTAAATAGCGCCATTTCTCTTATGTACAAAAGATTCATTATTGTTTATTACTGAATGCTCTTTTTATTGAATTAATGTTTATGTGTGCAAAATGAGCAAAAATTCATTAATAATACGAATATTAAAACACACGAGGAAATGACAAAGCATTGTTGATTACAAAACCAGTGACTGACTGGTTCTACATATAAACTGAAGAAAATAAGACCTTGGTTGTTGCTGTAGTAAAATTAATATGGTTGTTTTAAGTAATGTTATTTAATATTAATAAATGGAACAATAGAAGTAGCTAATCGATAATGGTAAAGGAAAAAGAGATCGATATGTAAATGTGCATGCGCACACGTGAAAACATATCGCCATTATTTTACATAAGAATATGAAAGCAACACTTTATTTACTGTTCATATATATTTTAATTAATGTTTCTGAATTTGTTTTATTGAATTAATGTACGTGTGCAAAATTAATACAATTTATTAATAATATATGGAATATTAGAGGACGAGACGGGCTGCCGGCATTTTGTTTATGTTAAAGCTTTAAACCAGCGACTGATTGGTTCTACATATACAGTAAAACTGAAGAAAATAAGACCCTGAGTTTAGCTGTAGTAAAATTAATGTAAAAATGAATATGGTTGCTTGAAGTACCTGTAAGTTATTTCATGTTAATAAATGGAACAATATAAGTGGCTAACCATTAATGGTAAAAAAAAAGTGAGACTGCTCAGATATGTAAGTGCGACATGTGAAAATATATCGCTATTTTCTATATAAGAATATGAAAGCAACACTTATTTACTGCTCATATATATTGAAGGGTTAAATGTTGTATTCTGTATAGACAAGCAGAGAGAGAGAGAGTGCAGCCAACTGCCGGATGTAAACAAACCCACTTCGCGCTTTTTTTTTTAAGGGATTATCCCACCGGCATAGGTCAATGACCCACATTGGGGCCTGAGGGGTAAAATTTACTCCTGTAATAATAATAATAATTCAGATAAGTAAAAAAAAATAAATAAAAAAAAAATAAAATAAAATAAAATTAAATAAAATGCTGCCTATCTACCTATTGACAAACCAAAATCATTCCGACCACGGAGTTTCTCGGACCACAGAATGCCGGACTAGAGAGTACAACCTGTATCTCCATTAGTCGAACAGTTGGTGCTGAGCACTTCTGGGAATGAGAGATTTCCGGTAACAAGACGACTCTCTTGAACCTGGAAAACGTCCCCATCACCAGAATTTCTGAATTTTTCGTACCGGAAAATTTTTCAGAATTTCCGAAAATGCGCCTGATTTTCATCTTTCAAACCCGTAAAAAATCTTCCCATCCCCTAATTTTCTGCATATGAGAAAATTTTCTGGATTTTCCAGAAAATGAGCTGCTCGAAAATCATTCCCAAAACCTAACCTAACCTAACTTAACTCCAACTGACCACATAATATGTATGTGGTTTGTATGGGGTAGTAGGCAGCTAACAAACAGGGAGGTACTACCACCTGGGAAGATATTGGAAGCATAATGTGTTGTCTAGTGGTACACCCTGCTGCCATATGTGACCAAGTCCCAAGTTGCTGTATATGACTTTCTTCTTACCATTTACACGCAATTGCAGGGTCTAAATTGTTTCCTTGACAACACAACATATATAACCTTTCACTCTTTGGATCTGTTTTATTCTTTTCTATTCTTTTATTCTCTTATGATATCAGTTGACAAACATGTTGAAGCGGGCCTTCTAGGATGGGTCCCACTGGTCGGGAAGGTTGTGGACCCCAGGGCCACCTGATCATCAAGTTACTGGGGCCTCAACTGACGCTACCATGTTGCTGGAGGATCGGCTTTTCACACTTTAATTTTTTTCCAACATTCGCGCTTGAGATCCAATTTTTCTTCTGTGGAGCACCATCTATTAACCCCTTCCCGACCTCTTACTGCTATCTGAACTTCAACTGACCAAAGCAGCTTCACCCAAACCTTTTAAAGTCTCCAACTACAACCTTTATACATCTTCTCCCATCCTAAGGGAGGTGTATACGCCTACTGCAACACACTTATAGCTCGACTCACGGATCTTGAATCGTCCTTATGATGTCATCTGGCTCAAAATATCTCTACCAACTATGACTATTTTTCTTTTGTTTCCTTTTACTATTCTCCCAACTCTACAATTGTTTGGAATTCTTTGACTATCTCACTTCTTGCCACGAGTCACTGTAATCCACACACCCCCAACACCGAGATCCTCTACCTACATGTGTTCCTGATCAACACAATCAACTTACTAACATTCTTGATCTCTGTTTTACCTCTAACCCTCTCACACTGTTCATACTCTAATTCCTGCCCTCTAGGTCTTCTGATCACAACTTTACTTATTAAACAAACTAGGCACAACCACCTCCCCACCCACCTCTAAATGCCAACTATCGGAAGGCAGCTGGTAATCCTTAGAGAATCTTCTCCAACTTTCCCTTGGTTTGAATGTTGATTTTGCACTGGATGCCTCAGTATGTGCTGACAGCATTGCTGGGGTTATAGGGTGGTATAGAGTGCATTTATCCCATCTTCTATCAAACTTTCACAATACAATCATGGTTTAATCGCTTCCTGCTTTCTTGCATGCAGGAGAGAGATAAGACATATCAAGCTATGAAACTATCCTTCCTATTACCCACTCATCTTTCATTACTACTAGGAATCATTGTAAGGCTATTCTTCAAGGGCAAAGCATAATGTTATAAAATGAAAGACCGCTGTCCTGACTAACTCTTCCTCTAGTAAATCCTTCTGGTCCTTAACCAAAATCATCTGTAATAACTTCTGCACTCCCACTTTTCCTCCTCTTCCGACCTTATAACTCTATAGCCAACTCTCCCCTGATAAAGCCAATCTCTTTTGGCACCTTTATTCTCATCTAACTCCACCTTAGACAATTCCAACCTCTATCCCTCCTACTCCTCCTACTGAACCTATGCACTTTCCTTAATCTCCACTCCAGGTTGCTGGTGTGTTATCCAGGTTGTATGTGAGTAAGGCGATGGACTGGATGGAATACCCCTCGTGTTCTGAGGGGAGTGTGCTGAAGTTCTGGCCCTGTGCTGCTCTCTTAAGCCTTTGCCTGAAAATCCAAACCTTTTCCTTCTTCTTGAAGCATGCCTTGGTTCAGCCCATCCTGAAGAAGGGTGACCATTCCAATCCTCTAACTATCGCCTCCATTGCCCTAACTTCATTCCTCTAAGATTTTCGAAACTATTAAACTCATTTTCCCACCTGAATGCTATTCTTTTGTCGGATCACCAGTATGGCTTTCGCCAGGCGAGATCGTGACTGGTGATCTGCTCTCCACTGCACCCATCTTGGTAATCCTCTTTAGGGTTATTATAGTAGTGTGGATATATCGCAGATAGGGTCCAACGACGCTTGTATACCAGATCTCAATATATAATTACATGTAATCAATGGGGAAATAGTTAGGTTCTGGAGGCAAAACTTGACTTAATGAAGTTCATTTTCTACTAAGTAAAGCACCAATGAGACACTAGACTTGGGAACAACAGACTATTTCAATATCATCAAGGAACACCAGATCTCGCAGCAGACGCACACTGCCACCCCTACTTGACAATCCCACACCTACATAAACTAACACCAAAAAATATTAGTTAATTATTAAATCTTTCCATTGCTTTCCATTTTTCACTTCACTAAGTCACTAGAAACCCATTTACACTCACCTTAGAAGTCGAATCTGCAGCAGAGTCGGCTGCTGCCACCACTCAGCGGGCGAAGGCACGCGGAGTGAGCAGTCACGGTGTTCTCCGTGAGCAACAATGATTTGTTTTTCATGGCGTACATTTGAAATATTTTTCTGCCCGATTTCCTCGCGGAAATCATTTTTTTTTCGCTTATACGATATAGAAATTTTTGATAATTTTGTAGCTACGATATAATTTTTATATATACTGTATAAAGTCACTATATATCTCCACCTACTGTATGGGAAAATCCTTCGTCGGGCTCCTCGATATTCCAAAGCATTTGGCAGGTTGTGGCACAAGTCTTTGCTTTCTAATCTTCCTTCTTATGGTTTCTTTTCTCCAGTTTCTAATTTCTAGCTTCCTTGAGAACCGATCCATGGCAGTTGTTGCTGAGGATTGATCTCTTGCCTTCAACCAATAGTGGTGTCCTATTAGGTTCTGTTCTTTTCACTTACTCTTCCTTCTTTTATCAATGATTTACTTCACACAACAACTAATTCTATCCATTCTACGTCTTGATGATTCTACTCTCTTCACTTTTCTTTCACATTTTTCCTGTCCTCCCAATTCTCAAACTAGATCTGTTTTTTTAGAGCTGATATCAATTTCATCAATGAGGATCTGCGCAGCATCTCTGAATGGGGAGGTAGAAACTTGGTTAAATTCAATAGTTATAAAATTCAGTATTTATCAATTACACTTTCTAAATTAAGATGATTTCCACCAAATTTCTAATATGTCATGGAAGCCACACTCCTAAAACATTGCTAAGTTGCCTCCTAAAGCTGAATGCTACAGATATCAGAGTTATTTCTTA